CATTTGATTTAGTCTTGCATTACATCATTGAAACAACTCAAAGTGTTTCACAGGATTTACTATGAAGTGTGGTGTATTTGTTGGTGAACACAGCAGTCTACTTATGCACAATAATAATAATCCTTGCATTTGATATAGCGCTTTTCATGTCTTCTAGACGTCTCAAAGCGCTTCACAAAATATACTATTAAGTGAATTGACTGTATATTTGTGGGTGAACGTGGCAGTCAATTGCGCACAGCAGTGTCCCACAAACAGTCGTGGATTGAAAATGACCAATTTATTATTGTTTTGTTTTTTGGAGGGATTATTATTAGGCGTGTGGACTAAGGAAACTTGTCCAAGGTTTCGCCCTGTCTGGAATTGATCTCAGGTCTCTCGCTTACAAAGCGAATGCTCTAACCACTGAGCTACAGGACTCCCAACAATGCTCCACAAATGGCCACAAGGTGAATGAACAGTTTTATTTGGGGGATTGTTGACCATAATGCTGGGAGAAATTCCTTTTGTTTTTCGTATAGTGCAATGGGATCTTTAACGTTCATCTGAACAGGCAGATGGGACCTCAGTTCAACTTCTAATCTGAATGACATACCTCTGGCAATATAGTGTCCAGTGTACACTGCATAAATATCCCATTTTTCTTTTCATAGAATCTAGTGGAACACAACAATCTTATTGCTCTTGCTGTTGCCTTCTGGCAACTTGTTCACTGTCCAAACTACCTTATTTCAGTCTGGCAGTTTTGCCTGAATTGGGATGGCCAGTGTTGAGCATTGACCCCAATGATCCAAATAGAAATCTTATCGAATATAAAATATTTTGTGAAGCATACAACGTCCTGCACTTGCAATTCTGATGTATTTCAGAATAGTAGAATTTATACTTTATGCATTACCTTGAAGGTTTCAGAATAAAGCAAATGGCTGATTGTGAGTCGTGTCCACTGTACAGGGCTTTGGCTGAAGTCACACATTAATGGAGAGCAAAAACTGCAGAATTCCACTGGGTAGCAGTGGAGTGAGTTTGTGCTTTTTAATAAGCAGGCAAAACAATAGGAGTATTTTCAGCATATGGAAATGCATCAGTTTGTTTGAGCCTTCCAACATCTGAGAAAATAAATGGGAGCACGGAATCAGTCAGCAAGAGATTCTAACCATAAATGGAAGCAAGAGAAAATTGACCGTCTGCAGCTGCCGTGTGGAAAAAATGTTCTTTGCTATTGGCAGTATCCAGAAAGGTGTCTTTTTGTACCATTTGGAATTATTCCTGTATTCATAGAAAGCTTTGAAAAATTAGTGTTAGAAATAGTTGGCAAGAGTACTCGATGCTCTGCATGGTGATCTTAAAATATTTTCTAATATTCCAAGTAGGATTTTGAAGAAAATGAATCTCTGTTTAATGTAGTCATGTTACTCTTAGTCATGAAATACGGCTGATTTATCGACCTTCCACTCCAAATAATCTTACATTGTTCCGCTTCTAACACACTTGCTTGAATGGGTTATGTCGGCACAATTATGCTAAACAATGAAATTCCCTCGGCACTTCGTGTCCTGAGTTATATTACTCAATGATATCATTGATGTCAGTGCATTAGTAGAGTCTGCTTGTTTATAGATTTCCTTTACTGTAGATTCCTTTTAACAACTGAGTCAGCAGACGTTCAGGATGCAGTATTCAAAGGTTTAAGAGGATGCAGGAAATAGTTCTGTACATTTCAAGTCTGATCTCATTCTCTGAGACAGGACATGTAGACATTAACTCACTACTATAATTCAATTTGAATTTGTCCATTTTCGTTAAGAGTTTTTTAAATCAGAATGATGGTATCCAGCCCGTGGACCGTTTCCACACCTAGTACCCATGGCTCTGTTTCCTATATCTTTACCCCCAACCCCCCCATTGTTCAGGCTGCTTGTTGCCCGTTATAATTCCTCTGTACCCTTTGCAGCTTCGCTTACAACCAAAGGATCCGTTATGGAATGTGAATTGACACACAGACATGCATTTCATCTTTATTTATACTCGTCTGGGAGGACTCCTTTTGGGAGGATTTGGCACTTTAAAAATGTAACTTTGTTGTTGTGGCCGCGACTTAGCTTTGTCTGCGTTCTTTATTTTGTTCCCGCCACTTGGCTACGTGCATGCTCTGTGACGCACGATGCCACAGCGCCACGGTCAGCCGGTGCGGTCACCAGGAGTAATTGCGTGCGTACATAGGTGCTCTGTGACACACAATGCCACAGCACCACTTTGACTCGGCGGCTACAAGGTGTGACTGCAGCAAAAAACTGACAATAACTGATGAACGATAGGAGATACCCGAAAACAAATATGCCCATGTTACTCCTAGATGCAACACCTTTCTGATGAGGTATAAATCATGTCTCTATGTCAATCGGTTATTGAGATCCTTCTTGAAGCTGACAGACATTATCATTTTATTACTATAGAATAGATAGAGGAAGATATATATATAAAGAAGCTATCAAATTAGTTCTCTGTTGGTCTGTATTACATATATATATATATATATATGATAGAAGATGATGGAAACCAGAATTACTTGTTCTGTTTCAGGCTAGGCAAATTGGCTGCTGTATTAGAGTCCCTATATTTTACAGAAAAGTCTATAAAGCTTTTTGAGACATACTTGATGTGATATGGTGCAATATCAAATGCAAGGATTATTATTGTTACACAATATTGTCCATTCAAATTCGGTCACCAAATCTTGCACCTGCAAATAAATGAACCAATATATACTGTAATCAAAGAATCACAGCCCTAAAGTAAAAACCAACAGAGAACTCATTTGATAGCTTCTTGGCTTAAAAAAAGTGATACTTTGTCCGTCTTTGCAGAAACTTGCTGAATTTTCAACACTATTTATAGAACTTGAACAAAGTTGCGGCTCCTTTGTTGTGGAAAATTAAGTAAATTCTACTCAAATTCTTGGCTTGAAGTAGATTTCTTGTGAAAGCAGCATGTAATATTGCTACGTCACAAAAGGTCTAAGATTTTTTTTGTTGTCGTTGCCATTCTAGGATTAGAAACAGATTTCCACTTTGTGCATATAATGCTGATGTAATGTAAGGATAGGTGATAGCCCCTGCATACTGCAGCAATGTACCTTCAGTCCAACCTCAGAGTGACCCTCATGGCTTTTTTACAAGCACCACTTTTTGCTGCGGTTGGCAACTGTATTGGCACGGATTATAACCCCAAATATGAAAAGGCTGCATTATATCTCACTGCACCATCCAGTTCTGCATTTTAGTAACTTTTTTAAAGATAGGCTTTTTTTAAAAATAAGAATATAATAATCCTTGCATTTGATAAAGCATCTTATCACTTTAAGATTTCGTAAAGTGCTTCACAGAATATAATGTAAAGTGAATTGACTATTTTGTGGGTAAAACATTGCAGCCAATTGCCACAGCAATGTCCCACAAACAGTCATGGATTGAAGATGTTTCTTGGGGTGGGGAAGAAGCATGAAATACATTTTACAACCAAGTATTGCCTGTATTGTCTGCTTTTGTCTTGCACGAGGATTTACTTTTTTTTAAGGGTGTTTATAGTAATGTATAATTTTCACCTTTGTTACAGAAAATCTTTTTTGGACTGTTTTGACCAAAAAAACATAATTTAATAGCTAACAAAGTTATTCATTGCTTAGACTGGTACTGTTTTTTTCTATTTAACATTATGCAATAAGTGCAGTCTTCATTTCAAAAAGTGATGTTTTTAATATTCTCTTTAACTTATACTGATCTCAGAACCACCTTTAAATATATAGCTCCCTGTTCCTGCTGCCAGTGAAGGCTTATGTTTGGACAATTTTTCATTCATTTGACTAATAATAATTTTGTAACCTTTAGTCTTCAATACAACATCAATGGAAAATGTTTATTTAACTAGATCCAGCAGCATCTGAGCCCCATACCTAAATGGGTGTAGGTTTGAGGTTGATGAGAAAATTGATTAAAACTAATGGTCACACAAGATTCTAAGGGTTTGTTGAAAAAGATTCAAAGTTAAGCTTTTATCCTCGTTAATGCAATTCAGCTCTCTATCCTTGCTGTTCAATATCACCTGAAATAATTAACATTATTAACATTGCTGTAAATCTCTGAACTCTCAACTGATGCTTTTAAGATTCGAAATTTAAACTAAATAGGATTTACTAGTAAAAAAAAATTTGGTAACATACTTTGGAAATGCTAGTAACTTGTGTGTTTCACCCCCAACATACAGTCAATCCACTTTGCAATACATTCTGTGCAGTGCTTTGAGATGTCTCAACTCCGTTATAAAGCGCTATATCAAATGCAAGGATTATTATTGCACACTTGTAGAATTTACAACTAATAAGTATGCATCTAAAGCACTAATACAGAGTGCATTATGTATTGATTAAATCCATTATAGTCTTCAATTTTCCAAAATCTTGATGAAATTTTGGTGCATTCCATGGCTTTTTAGATTAAGTTTGCTTGCACTGTGTAGAACGGATCCATGTAGACTAGATCCACATAGACCAATACGTTTCTCTGACATTTGGCCTATGCTATTTAGCTCATCTCAGCTATGGTAGCACTGGGCTGCTATCATTGGCCTTCAATGCCTCTAGTTTAGAACTGTAAAAAAATGGTCCAGTGTATATCCACAAAAATGTAGCTGCTACCACTTGCTATGTGGATCCACACTTATTGAATGGGAGCAAATTTGAAGCAGGGTAAATGGATAAATGGCAGGTTGAAAACCTGCAGTTCAAATAAACCAAAATATACAGAAAGCATTTATATTTTAATTTTGAAATAATTGATCAACCAAATCAATAGCTTATACCAACATCGGTATTATCCGTGGTCCAGTGGTTAATCCCTTGCTACCTAATGGTTTTGAGCATTTATTTCAAACACTTGACTAGATGCCGAATGGTCCATTTGAATAATTTCTGTTTATGTGCTGCCTTTTTTTATTTTAAACAGATTAACTTGCGGCTTATCTTGGTGAGTGGAAAGACGAAAGAATTTCTGTTCTCACCCAATGATTCAGCAGCAGATATTGCCAAGCACGTGTATGAAAACTGGCCAATGGGTGAGTAATACTTTGGACTTTTTGACCTTGCACTGATCCATGTTAAGTCGATGCTGCCCTTTTTCTTGTAAGGTGTCTAAAATGTTCCTGTAGATATCTTTTTAACTGCACTGTGGATTTTGTCCCATCAGAGAGAATCGAGCTGATCCTCAATTCTCAGACTCCTTTATGTATCTCGTGCCCTCCGTTCCACCATCGGTGACCAAGCTTTAAGCCATTATGCCCCGAAATTCTGGAACACTTCCTCTATCTCTACGCCCCGCCCCTTCCTTCCTCATCTTTAGATCGCGCCCGAAGACCTTCCTCTTTATCCCTGGCTACTGTCACCCTGTGTGAGGGGCGCTATATAAATGTATGTTGCTGCCGTTGAGCTTAAACAAAATTTGTCATCTTATTAAACTGCAGAATTATTAATATGGCAGATTGTTGCAGCACATTTGTTTCAAAGAATGCAATTTTTTTGTACTTTTATATATTTCTCCCAATTCAGTAGAAGAGGTAGCCTAATCAAAATAGCAGATTTGAAATTCGGAGAATGCAAAGGGTGATGTTTTACGAGCTAGCTGGTAATCAAACGTTGGAAGGCAAATTAATGTGGAAGGTTCAAAAGACTGTTAACCACATCACGATGCTAATAAAAATACATCAAACCCTTAGCAGGCAGCATCAAGATTTCATTCTTTGCCCGTGGGTCAGATTAATCTTAAGTTGAATCATTTAAATAAGAGTTTTGATAAGTGCTGAGTTTTATGCTCATCACACAAATGATTGAACTAATTTTGAATACGTTTACTGAAATCCAAATATACATCTAAAAATTGCTGCTACATAATTGTTTCAGAAATATTTAATATGCTACAATTCGCATACTGAAAATTCTCTTCCCACTAACTATGATAATGTTGGAGGGGAATCATTTTGCTTTTAACCACCTAAACAGAAATCAACACACTGTTTTAGATGGAATTAATCTGCTTCAACAAGACACATTTTTTTCTTAAACTGCTATATTTTTCATATCCAGTGTATTTACTAAAAAAGGTTGTCAATTGTACTATAATTGTAAAGAAGTTTAAATATCGATTGAAAAGTAATATTGAGAAATTCATATAAAAAAACAACTTCAGGGATCAACCTGATGTGAGCCTACAGTGGAAACGGTCAAAATAAATGTTCAGCACCATTTTATCTTTGATCAGCTGGGTGTCTCTATCACATGGAGAAACCCATCATCGTGCTTTCGAGAGTATTCATCACAGACTGAGAGTTCCAAATATGTATGCCATGTACACATAGAAATTTATCTATGAATGGGCACTCTCGCTGAAGGGATGCACCCTGCATACCTAATGCTGGAAAGAGTAATATGTGCAGATTTGCAAGTAGTCAAGGCTTGGGGACCCAGAGTGTTTGGAGTCCTACCTAGAGTTTAAGCAACTAAAACTACGTAGCTTGCCATAGCTTTCTGGTGAGCTTTTCCACTGTACCTAGCTAGGTCCACCCTACTCTTTAGGGCTTTGATTTTCAAGGTTAACAGGAGCTGAGTGGGAAGAATTACTTATCACTGGTCTGCCCCTCAATGTCTTGCTGATTAACCCGGCCTGCTGTGGTGTCATCAGCAGTGCCCTGGAATACTGCAGACAACCAAGACTTCCACAGAGGATTGACTCTCTTCTGACATTTTATTACCAAGCATGTCACCTGAAGCCAGCTCAGCTCCAAAGAGACACCACTACTTTATTCCCCCGCCCCCCCAAGTGGAAACAACTTACATTTTTAGTCTTCCACATTTGGCAGTGTTTTCAAAACCAATGGACTTCATTCACAAGACCCACTGGGATAAACACTTTGGATAGCCCAGAAAAGGAATGTGGCATTTACAATTGTAAGGGGAATTCCTGAACTGGAAGTACATTTGTAATAGATTTCTTTGTCTTAGCCAAACTATCTCAATAAACACAAGGACATTCACAGTTTGAGACAATATAATTATCTGAAATCAAATGTCTGCAAAGCGTCCAGACTGAAGAAATTGCGAACGTCTTGCTGAAATGGTGCAAATGGAAAATATCAGCACTGTCTGTCACAGCAGTTACAAGAAAGGGGTCTTGATAGGGAAGTTGTTTTTAAAAAAAAACACCTAATATTGCTTTTGACAGTGGAGTCAGGGAAAAGACTGATTGTTCGACCGTCTTCAGATTCTATTTATTTCTTTCACCACATTTTTCTTTGGCTCTGCTGTCAGATTATATTTTGGTCTTAACAAATCCAGCCTGACCAATATTTTTTTCTTGCAGAACTGACGGATATTTTTATTCCTGTCACCTCTGCAGTATCCATAGTTTTTGTCTTTCATGTTTAGCATGTGTTTTCAAGTGTTAGAGATTTGCAATTTGTCATTTCAACAAATTTTGATTTGAACTTTAAAAACAACAATAAATTGTATGTATATAGCATCTTTCACATCGGGATGACTTATCAAGGTGCTGGACAATTACGGGTTTGCACCCGAGCTGGGGGTTGGAATCAAGAAGGATGGGTCCAAGGGGGATGGGGTGGGAAAATGACTGAAGGCACGGTTAAAGAGGAAGGTCTTATTAATAATAATAATAATAATCCTTGCATTTGATATAGCGCTTTTCACGTCGGGAGGACGTCCCAAAGCGCTTCACAGAAGACACTGTAAAGTGAATTGACTGTATATTTGTGGGCGAACGCGGCAGCCAATTGCGCACAGCAATGTCCCACAAACAATCTTAGATTGAAAATGACCAATTTATTATTGTTTTTGGTTTTGGAGGGATTATTATTAGGCTCTGTGTGGAGTAAGGAAACTTGCCCAAGGTTTCGCCCTGTGCCTGGAATTGAACCCGGGTCTCTTGCTTGCAAAGCGAGTGCTCTAACCACTGAGCTACAGGACTACAGGACTCTTGAGACAGGCCTTGAAGGAGGCGAAGGAGAGGGCAAGGGAAGGAATTCCAGAGGATGGGGGCAAAAAGGCTGAAGGTCCGACTGCCAATGGTGAAGTGAGCATGGTGGGGGGCATGGAGCAGGTCAGTGCCAGCCGAGTGGAAGGAACAGGAGAGTTGGTAATGTGTTAGTGGGTTGCAGAGGTAAAGAGGAGGAAGACAGTGGAGGGCTTTGAAAACACCAAAGTGCTGTTACATTATGGGCATGATTGTATCTATAAAATGATTCCAGAATTGTGATTGTAATGTACATGTTGTGGGAAATACAAAACCAGAAATGTAGAACATTTATTTCTCTTACATAACCAAATGAATTACAGTCTTCACCCACCACCCCCATTTTAGCTCTGAACTTTTCTTGTAATTTTTATGTGCAATGCAGCTGAAATGTGATCTTTTGGCATCTATTAACAATATGTAGTGAGACCTGCATCAATACATTATTCATTACTGTTTTGGTGCTCCAGTTCAAAGACATGGGTTGACAGGTCATGGGTTCATATTTTGGATTTCATGCATTGCAGTTTTGCCATACTGTCGGGTGAAGAGGCACAGCAGAGGTCGGACTCTAGATGTGCTTGGCAAAATACATCTGTTTTGGCTGGCTCTCTTGTACTAAGAAACAGACCACCCTCTCCATAGGCTTAATTTAGGAATAGATTTTAATCTCATCTTCTCTGATCATTAAACTTTTCCCAAATAAGTAAGCTGTATTTCGGTGGAAGCCAATTCGATAACAGCTTTTAAGAGAGAAGTAGATAATTATTTGGGGAGGACAGGTTTGCAAGTTTGCAGGGCTATATGGAGAGTGCGGGGGAGTGGGATTGATTTGGATAACTCTTTTCAAAGAGCCGGCACAGACACGATGGGCCAAGTGGCCTCCTCCTGTGCTGTCCAATTCTACGGTTCTATGATTTTATTTTTGTTTCGCACTGTTATTTAATTCAGTTTATTCTCTAGTAAACTCAAAGGTGCAAAAATCAGGTTTTAAAAAATGTTTTAACAAATTTGATTTCTTGTTTTAAAAAAAAAATGAAATCTTTCCACCTTTAGGTGCAATCTGATTCATTCTCGCTATTGGGAAGCCATGAAAAGAGACTTCTCAAACTTATTATGATGCCATAATATTGGCAGACATATCCATGTAGTTCTCAAATTCTTGTGTTTGCGTCTGGCTTTCTAATGACACTACTGAGAAGGTAGGAACATGTTGTGCTCAGCTTGTTTTCAAAGTTTGCTGGTTTGATACCAGTTGCTATGCAAAATGCAATAGCTGCATTCTAAGTTTTGGCAAAGTCTGATCTTGAACGGGCAAAAAGGGAAAGCAAAGGGAAAAAGTCTGCAGGTGGATTTTAAAGGCAAGAAGTGGATAAGGTGGAGGGATTCTAGGAATAAAATTCTCGCATTTGTGCCAGAACTGGGCTCCAAGACCCTCGTCCATCCTTCATCATACCCAGACTTGATTAGTCCACAGTCGTGCTCACTGTTGGCTTCTCCCAACACAAAATAATAATAATCCTTGCATTTGATATAGCGCTTTTCACGTCTTCTAGACGTCCCAAAGCGCTTCACAGAATATACTGTTAAGTGAATTGACTGTATATTTGTGGGCGAACCCGGCAGCCAATTGCACATAGCAATGTCCCACAAACAGTCGTGGATTGAAAATGACCAATTTACGTTTGTTTTTTGGAGGGATTATTATTAGGTGTGTGGAGTAAGAAAACTTGCCCAAGGTTTCGCCCTGTGCCTGGAACTGAACTCAGGTCTCTCACTTGCAAAGTGAGTGCTCTAACCACTGAGCTACAGGACACAAGCTGCAGACCATCAAAAAATCTGACACCACCTTTCTTCCTTGTTACAAGTATTAGACCCCATCTACAGGTGTGCAACTGGCCAGCTTGATCCCTTCCTCCAGCCAGTTCCCGTACTTAAAAGAACACTAATGATCATGTCATCACTGATTAAGTGATTTTTATGACTTTAGCTCAAGAGCATGGCAGCAATAATGGTAATACTTGTATTTGATATAGCTCCTTATTACACCTCAAAGCGCTTCACAGGGTATACTGTAAAGTGAATTGACTATATATTTTGTTGGCGAAAAGCGGCAGCCAATTGCACACAGCAGTGTCCCACAAACAGTCGTGGATTGAGTGATCTAATTTTTTGGGGAATCTAAACAGGAATAGAGCTGCATGCATGTGCAGTGAATGGGACCTGCACTGCAACAGTGTTATATAAGGAAGTGCAATATAACAAGTCTACACTGAAGTTTGATGTCACTATTAAGCAGGGTGCAATTGCCTGGAATCGGCCCCTTTTTTCGTGCTGGAACCAGTCGGCAGGACAGATGTACAGTGAAAGCAGCTATTGCACCTTGATTTTCTAGATCCCAATCACCTTGTTTTTTATAATGGGACTGCACTACACTCACTACAGGAATCTTTTTCTTCAACAAAGGATTGTTATTGCACTATGGCTGTGCATTATTTATGTAATATATTCACTTTCGTGCTGGGAAAATTAACTAGATGGTTTTTTTTGCGCATTCGAGTGCATGTGTATGCCTTTTGTAAAAGCAAAATTTTGTCTTGTTTCAGATTGGGAGGATGAGTTGGTCAGCAGTCCAAGTATTCTTAGACTTATCTACCAAGGGCGATTTCTCCATGGAAACGTGACACTAGGAGGTAACTAATTTGTTAATTTATTTTCATTAAGTACTTTATGACATTTGGCAAGATTCAGTTATTATCAAATTAACTGGAGGTAGTGAAAATCTAACTGATCAGAGCAAAAAAAAAATCAGAAGCTGGGTTTCCAACTTGGGCTCCAGTAATCATTACTCGAAGAGATTGTGAACTCTGAATTTTACCCCTGTGAATTTTATAATCTGTTTGCTTTCTTGCATCAATATTTACTTTTGTCCTTTCTTGTGACTGCCGTTTTTGTTGTTGTTCAACAGTTTTCCAATTCTGTGTTTTTATATTTTTTGCCTATTTTTATTTTTAAAATGTAAAAAAAGTTGCTTACTTCCATTGTATATTATTTAGTCTTTATTGAAATCCACATCGGCATGATCCAAACATCAGTGGAAGTTCTTCAGCATATTGAACATGGATGCGACTGAAATTCATGGAGGATATTAATGTTTTTTTTAAATTGGATGAATTTAAAGAGAGAAAAATGCACAGACACGAATGGCCTCATCTGTGCATAATATTTGTTTCTGTGGTATTCCATGGGATTTCTTTGTGAATATTTTTGGATAGTTTTGACTGAAATCTTTTGACTATTTGTTGTTTCTGTTTTGGTGCTCTTACTTAATTTGTATGATTTTTGTTCTCATGCTGTTTCTTCCTCCTCTCTGTTCAGTTATCTAACATTCAAAAGTATGCAGCCACCGTTCTGATTTGTATTGCTAGTTGGAGACCTTTATAGTGTGTGTGTGTCTCTCTCTCTCTCATTCTCGCGCTCTCTGTAAGGGGAGGGAGAAAATAGTACATAGACGATTTTTATTTACAATGTTTGTTTTGCTTTCATTTTTTCCTCTACTTGGGAGTTTATGTCTAAACCCTTAAAGCCAACTTCTTGTTTGGATTTTGTAATTCCTTGCATTCACATTTGCTTTGCAGGATTTACTGTGAAACCGAGTGACTGTATTGAAACCACCATGTACATTTCCACATGTATGGGACGACACCCAACTTTATTTTGCCACCTCTCTTTGCGACCCCCCCAGTTCCCTGATGTTCTGTCAGCCTGCCTGTCAGATCTCAGGGGTTGGATGGGCACAAACTTCCTTCAGCTGAACGTTGACAAGACGGAAGCCATACTCTTTGGTTCTCGTCAACGTTTAAAATCTCACGGCTCTCACCTCCTCCACCTACCCGACCTCCCCCTAAAACTCTCCGAATCCGTACATAACCTAGGCATCAGGTTCGACCCCCAATTATCCTTCCTCCCCCACAACCAGTCCCTCACCAGCACCGCCTTCTACCACCTCCGATGCATCGCCTGTCTCCGCCAATACCTCTCCCCAAAAGCCGCTGAAACCCTGGTCCATGCCTTTGTCACCTCTCGGCTGGACTACTCCATTGCCCTCCTCGCCGTCTCCCATCCATAAAATCCAAATCATTCAAAACTGCCGCCCGCATTCTCACACGCACAAAACTCCGCTCCCCGATCACCCCAGTCCTTGCCAGACTGCATTGGCTGCCTATCCCAGAGAAGATCAATTTCAAGATCCTCACTCTTGTATTCAAGTTCCTGCACTCCTCTGCACCTCCCTACCTCTTTGAACTCCTCTCTCCTCAAAACAGTACCCGTTGCCTTCCATTCCTCCGGGTCTGGCCTCCTCCTCGTCCCCCGAATCCTCCGCTTCAACCTCGGCGGCCGTGCCTTCAGCCATTATGCCCCGAAGCTCTGGAACTGCCTTTCTCACTCCCTTCTCTCACTCCCTCCCTTCCCATTTTCAGGCCTCTGCTGAAGACCTTTCTTTTCGACCGCGCCTTTGGTCACCTTCCTCCCCCTCCCCCTGGCTTGGTCCCGGGCTCTGTTACTGTAAAGTGCTCTGAGACACTGTCCGGCGTGGAGTGGGCTATATAAATCCAAGTTGTTGTTGTTATTTGTAGGCAAACACGGTAGCACAATTGTGCGCATCAATGTCCCATAAACAGCCATGAAACGAATGCCCAATGTCTATTTGGGGGATTGTTGGCCAGGACAATTCTTTGCAGTAAAGTTGAATCTTACTGAAAACTCTTATGTGGTTTGTGTATTTTTTTATGTGCCTGATTAGAAACCAGTGGCATGATGCCAATTGCACAATGAAGAGGTAGATTAACATCTGCGATTCCCCACTTGGAGACTTCCTTCTGATATTGACTGCTTTCAAAAAGAGCAACCAAGTAGAAAATTGGCACCACCTTGCAAACGCAGCAAAATTCTGATCTCAGTTGAGAATAAACATGATGAGAAGCATGGTGTACTATCTTTTGTTATTAACTTTTGTTTTGATCACATCCTTCCTTTTTTTAAAAAAAGCATCTTTGCATTTTGAACTTTCTTTATCTATTTTCTTGCATAAGCCTATTTTTGTTCCCTGTGTCGATGGGGAATTCAGTGGAATGCAAATTGTTTTTCGTATCTCCTAACATTGTATTTTGGGAAACCGACTGTAGGGAGCATAGAATAACAACCACTAAAATTCTCTAGGTTTGGATCACCCTCCACTTTGGCTCATTACATGTCAGTTTGGTGTCAGCTTGGCTCAGTTGGTGGCATTCTAGCCTCTGGATCAAAAGGTTGCAGGTTTGAGCCCCACATTGGGACATTGAGCTCACACATTGTAGGCAATGGCAGCCACTCCATTGCAGTGTTGGGGAAGAGATGCATTGCCAAAATTATCGTCCTTCGGATGAGACATTAAACCTAGATCCTGCCTGCCCATTCAGGTGGATCCCATGACACAATTCAATAAAAGAAGAGTGTTTCCTGGTATCCTAGCCACCATTCCTCCAGATTATTGCTCATTCACTTCATGGCTTTTTGAGGGACATTTAGGGCATTGCTTTGTGCAAATTGACTATTGCGTTTGCCTACAAATAGTCACTGCACTTGACGTCAGTTGCGTATGTGAGGTTGTGAGACATTTCGAAAACATTATATGAAATAATCAAATGTTAATAGAAATTTGAGCTTGTACTTTTTATGGCTTTGAATTTGCTTTCTTTCATAAGTGTCAGAATTAAATATTTTTTGATTGTAATAGTAGCTTGAAGATATGTAATTTAACATTTAATCACACTTTCTTTCAGCGCTAAAGCTTCCTCTTGGTAAAACTACTGTGATGCATTTGGTTGCAAGAGAGACATTGCCAGAACCAAACTCCCAAGGTAAGTAACTAATACAATTCTTGTTTTCCTTCTTCCAACTGAAAGTGAGTTTGCAGTGCACCAGTATGCAAACATTTAATATATTTGTCATAAATTAATAATTGGTGAGTAGAATGATCTAAATTTTGATATGGAATCAAAAGCATATTTTCAGTTTAAGTACATTAGAATGCATTAGAATATACAGCACAGAAACAGGACATTCAACCTAACTGGTCTATGTCGGTGTTTGTGCTCCACATGAGCCTCCTTCCCTATTTGATCTATTTGTGACTATTTTATATTGATGGCCCCTGGTTTTGGTTTCCCCCACAAGTGGAAACATCTTCCCTATGTCTACCCTACAATACCTTTCATCATTTTAAAGACCTCTATCAGGTCACTTCTTGCCCTCTTTTCAAGAGAAAAGAGTCCAAGTATGTTCAGCCTTTCCTGATGGGTATAACCTCTCAGTTCTGGGATCATCCTCGTGAATCTCTGTTGCACCCTCTCCAGTGCCTCTACATCCCTTCTATAGTGTGGGGACCAGAACTGCACACAGTATTCTAAGTGGGGTCTAACCAAGGTTCTATAGAAGCAGTTTGGTAGTTATAATCGTTTACAAACTTGCTGCATATCATCACAGCAGGTTAGAATTGAGCATTGTAAAGTTGCATGTTGTGCTTTTTCATCTAAGTAACTACAGTACATGGATTCCTTTAGAAGTGGAATGTGTGAGTTAGCTGATCAGTCAATCAAAAGCATCAAATGTTAATGGGAAAGTTAACCGGACATTATTTGGTTATGAATGTTAAAGCAATGGAAAAAGCTGTGTGGTGGTTGACTGTATATTGGAGTACTGCTGCATTTCTCTGTCAGTGATGTGCTACCGATTCAGATTCTGTTTCCCACAAAATGAGTTTATTTTTAATATTAATTGGTGCTGTTTTTGGGTGGGAGGGTGCAGGTGGGTGCCAACTAAAACCTGCGCACATTACCTTTCAAAGGGGAGAAATGCAGGAAATCTGACCTGCTCCTTAGTGTCTCCAAGCAGCAGCTGCTTTACCCTGCTTTATCCCACTCCCATCCTCTATGTGACTGATGTGAAGTTGAAAGTCATTGGAGAATATTTTGAAGGAAAGATGAGTCATTTTCACATCTCAGTGTTTCTCACCTAAGTTTTTGTTTAATGTCTGTAGGTCAAAGGAACCGTGAAAAGACTGGAGAAAGTAATTGTTGTGTGATTCTGTAAATACTTCCACTTATTTCTGCTAACCGTGATGTAATATAGTCCTTGTCTTTCATGCTGCTGGTATAGAAGAGAAGTAACGTTGCTTCAAGGATCCTTTTAAAAAAAATGATTATCAATCAAAATAAAAACTGGAGCATTACTGTTTGTTTTAAAGCTATTCTCCATTGTACTGTTTACTTTAATTGTGATTTTCTTTCCCATTATTTTCTATGGTATGTATTCTTTCTGCAGTTTCTGTATTTAATTCTATTACCTAAAGACAGACAAATTAAAGACTTTATGCCACTGAAATCATTCTTTTATCACCTTGCTTTTTAGAGTTAAAGTATAATTGAAGGTGCGTATCAGTGCTTTTTTAAAAATTAGGTTTTTTAAACCCAGCCACTCTCCAAGAGGAAGCTAGCATTGCTGATTGAAGTGCTGACATTGTCTTTTAAGCAGAGAAGTTGAAGCCGATTTTAATAAAACAGACAAACTAGTTGATTTTGAAATTATTTTGTTATGTCCAGTATATTTTGCTATTTGCATTAGTCATTGAAATGCTAGTATGTCTTCTGTTTTAAAAAAAATCAAGTACAAAGTTGATGTGCCTGTATTTTTTGATGACGGTTTGTAGTTGTTTAATAATATTGTCTGTTTCTTTATGCACTCTGGTAACATGGCATTACCTGCATCAGCTTATTTTGCAGCATAAAACAGTGCATTGAGTGCATTTTGTAGCCTTAATGTGGGAAGGGGAAGCTTTAGTATAGCTTCTCAGCCTTTCTTCCTGCTGCAAACCATTTACCATATTTGTGCGAAAATGCTCCATTAATCATCCAGTCTGTATTCATTAATGTTTTTGTTATCTTAACTTATAATCTTGCTGTTGACTGTCCAACATATTTCTAACATTATAAATTTAAAATCTAAGTAAGGGGGGGAAAGGGGGAGTCATCATCAAGCACAGTACATTATTCTGCATTTTCTTTCATGACTTAACTTTTAGTACTTGTAATAATTTGTATTTCTGTATTTAGTGCTTGCGATTATACAGAAGATAGGGAGGCTAAATTATTCGAAGGACCGAATTTGGCATGAAAGATAGCATTCCCTTTCCTTTTGTATAACTTACAAATAATATGCTAATTAAAACCCAGAATTTTGCACCGCACTGAAGCATGAGCTACTTTCATCCGAATCTGTAAAAAAAATTAAAGTTTTTATATTTTTCAGCCAGGGATTTCTTCCCAGCTGAACTACAGATATGTGTAGAATATATTTAATAAGAATCTTATACAGTTCATGAGTATAGAACTTATTGAGTATAGATTGGCTTGTAGTATAATAGAATAATAATCCATGTAAGTAACATTAGCAATTTAAAACAGTCACAGGTTGACATTGTGTTCTATATCTAATAAAAAAAACATCTGCTGCCCAGATTGAACTTAATGTTGTGTCAGTTTTTCAAATAGTAGGACATGATATAATCTAATTGTTTTTCTTTAACCTGTGTTTATTGCTTTTAAATGCCATGCTGTAGTTCTTATGAAGAAAAATTGTTCATATTGATCAGGATCAAATTTGTATAGAGCTGAGTTTTGCAATTGATTGTAAATATCACTAAACATTTTCTTTCTGCAACCTGTACTGATAGATTCCTTCTGTAAACTAAATAAAAGAATATTGCAGTTCATTTATGAGACTCCTATTAGGTTATTGTTTTGGTTCCAGATGCCTGCAAACTCTACTGACTATTTTGGATCAATTATTTAAGATGACCAGATGAGAAGGTAAACCATCCATCATCATCGCATTATTTTCTTAATGTTTAGCAAATAAATGTATGTAATCACTGATATTTCCAATGCAATTTAACTCTAATCCCTAAAACGGCAGCAGGTATATAGAAATTCCCATCTTTATTTTCAGATGACACATTGAATTCAAAACAAATATATAAAACAAAAATAGAACTAAACCTTTTAAACTTATTCCCTTATCTTTTCCTCTCTTCTCTCTTCTGCCTTGTTGTATTTTATTCTTAGCTTTTACTTGTATTTTCTTCAGATCACGCTAGGCATTTCATAACATGGGAGAAGTTTTTAAAGAGTTAAGCAACTCCATTGGCTAAAAACTAGCTTCTCAGGCCAGTTTTGCAGCTAAAATATCAAAATAAGAGTCTTAAGATTGATTGAGCTGAGGTGCCAGCCTGATGCAAAAATCATGTCAGAACCAGGAAGTAGAAGCGAACAAGTAAACACATTAGCAATTGTTCCATCCAGAAGAAGGGTTTCTGAAGTGGCACTTTGTGGGTTAAATAGGGAAGGAACGCTTCCTAACATCACTGTTAAGTTTGAAGTTAAAATTTGCACCCTCAAGCATACTCGACCACTCCCCAAACACCCTGGGTTACTCAAATATATTTAAGCCTAGACTGTAGAGGACTTCTGGGTCGTGTTGTGTCCTCCCTCCCTATTCTATCAAATTCTTCTGTTAAACATGTATTGGCTTTCTGCAATTTTCTTTCCAGCTTGATGTGATCCTCGAGCACATTCTCCCAGGCGATTACAGTGACATATTTTCCCTCCAACACCAGTTGGTGACTGCTGAGAGGTGAACCCTTTTTAACAGTAGCTTAATATTGAGTCTGTGTAAGGTATTCATCATAATAAAATGCAGCTCAGTATTTCAAGATGTGTCATGTCTCTATTCAGAAGAAAAAGCTTGTGCAGCCCTATTTCTACTTCCTGAAAAGTATCTATTATTTCCTTGGTCAATTAGGAAAGAACTTGAATTTTAGTGCGTTATCAAGTTGTAATATCTCAAAAGTAATTACTGTCGAATGTTTGCATGCCTATAGCATAAAACAAAATTCTGTTGCTCGGATAATCAACTCTTCAAACTTAAGCCTGTTTATTGGAATATTTTCTTTCTCCAAATATATTCTGATCTTCAAGAACTGATAAACTTACTTAGGTGAGTCACGGTTATGCTTATTAGCTTCTCAAGAACATCCCTTTTGTAAACATGAGAATACTAGGTTTCATTATTAATCGAGGAATTTCCCCGAGCTTGAAATACTGTATTAACTCTGCATTCAATATAGCACCATTTGGTTGGGAGGATATCTCAAAGCACTGCACAGGATTCACTGTAAGTGGTGTATTGTAATGTGTACTGTAAAGCATTGTACCTCCTAATTGATGCAGCCAACCCTTATCCATGCTTTCGTCACCTCCCACCTCGATTATTTCAATGTCCTCCTCGCCGGTCTCCTCAGCTCCACTATCCACAAAATCCAATTAATTCAATACTCTGCTGCCCATATACTCACCTACACTAAACCCCATATACCCATCACACCAGTCCCTGCCAGGCTCCACTGACTCCATAATCACAGAAAGGATTGACTTCAAGATTCTCGCACTCGCCTTCAAATCCCTTCCTGCCCTGGCATCCCCTACCTTTCCAACCTGCTTACTCCTCAACCCACTATCTGCTGGCAGGCTGTGGCCTCCTGCTTGTCCCTCGTCTCCTCTGCCCCACCATCGGTGGCTGTGCTTTTAGCCACTACCCCCAGAAACTTTTCTACCTCAATTCCTGTGCCTTGCCTCCTACCCTGTTTTCAGATCATGACTGAAGACCCTCCTCTTCGACCGTGACTATGATCACCTTCCCCTGGCTCAGAATTGGGCTCCGCCACTATTAAATGATCCAAGACCTACGTGAAGGATGCCATATGAATACAAATTGTTGTAATGACTATTTCGTAGGCAAATGCGGCAACCAGTTTGCACACAACAATGTCTTACAAGGTGAGTAATCAATTTTATTTGGAGTGGTTTGGGCCAGGATACTGGGAGAAATTTCCATCTCTTTTTGAATAGTGCCGTGGGTTCTTTGATGTCCACCTTAACGGGAAGATGGGATCTCAGTTGTCTCATTTGAAGTACAACACCTCCAACAATGCAGCAACCTCCGCGCTCCCCCCCCCACCCCACCGCTTGCTATGAGTTTAAAGACCCAATGCTGGTTGAATCCATAACCTGAGGCGAGAGTGCTACAGAGTGAGTCAGGCTGAATTGCGTACAGCAGTGTCCCACAAACACCCATGGATTGAGTGACCAAATATATATATTTTTAAAAAATTTGAAGGGAATATTACCCCCGGAAAAGGGATCTGCCAATCGACTCAAAAAAATGGATTCCTACTTGCTGCTAGGTGAGATCAGATGAGACTACACTCGGGGGAAGATTAAAAGACTAGGATGCATGAAGGATTAGATGAAACTAATTTTGTGGAGGGATGTCAATATGGTGCGAGGGCATATTACACTGTAAAAGAAATGAGTTCTGGATGGTCTGTAGCTTGTGTAGGGAGGAGCTGGACATTAGAATAATGAAGGTTTGGATGAAGATCTCAACAGCCCAGAAAAAAAATAGAGATGGATAAAGGTGATATAATAATCCTCCATGATGTCTTCATTTAACATATCCTCCCAGAAATCTAGTATAAGACACCCGTTAAAGATCTTTTTAGCAATACCTAATGCCTACAGCAACTCGTATAAGTAATGCCATGAGATCTTTAATGTCAACCAAAATAAGCAGATGGGATCTCGGTGACATAATGGGCCAAATGCCCATTTTCTGTGCTATAAATTTCTATGGTTCTTCCTTCTGATCTGATCTTTACTTTTCACTTGTAAAGCTGCAGAAGCAACCAGGATCCCTTCAAATTTACTGCTTCTCATAAATAAGTTAAAAGTTAAAAAAAATGTTTTAGGCTTAATGTCGACCCTAATCACCTCCAGGGATTGAAAACATTCACTACAGATAATGACGAGGATGGAAACTATTTTCTGCCGCAGCAAAACAAATTTCTTTAGTAATGAGGGTTAATGAGAATATACGAATGCAATTTCAAAACAGAAATTAAAAATGAAAATAGATCGCCAACCCGAATTAAACTCCCGCAAAAGGGGCTGCATTTTCCTTCCAGGTCCATTATTTAATGGTCTTTCATTCGACTTAATGCCTTTTATGTCAGGAGGATATCTCAATGCACTTCACATGATTTTTACAGTGAAGTTCAGTGACTGTATTTGCTGGGGGAAAGTGGCAGCCTATTTGTGAACAGCAACGTCTTACAAACAGCCATGAAGTAACAACCAATTTTATTTGCGGGATTGTTGGCCAGGATACCAGGAGTTAATCCTTTTTTGAATAGTGCGTGGGATCTTTAACATCCACCTGAACAAGCATCAGGGACCTCAGTGTTCAAGCCTCATCGGAAGGATGGC